TGTTTGTCATAATGATCACTCTGCTCTCACTACCGGTTTCGGAGTTTCGGAGCCCTACTCCATCATCAGGTGAGCTTAGGCAGATCCACAAAATGACAACCACGGAAAGATTGTCGGAAAGTATCGACACAGATTAGGTATCCTATAAGTATACAAATAAAAATCTTGTTCCTAATTCGTGGTACGAAAATTGTTTTTTATGACGATGTGCAAACGAGTCAAATTTCCTGTGCGCAAAAATAAACTCGTGTAAAATAACAATAAACAGCGTAATAGAGAGATATCGCTAAACCGAATAGCGTGCATGGACGTTAATAAGGCCAGGTGTTATTTCCTTTACGTGAGGAGGTATTAACTCTCTTCATTTATATAATAGTTATCGGATCGGAAAGAATTCTGTTCGCGTCGCGTCCGCTATTTAAACTTAACCTAACTTTTAATTTAAAACTTTGAAATTGTTTTGTTTACTAGGTATTTTAAAACTAAAGGGCTAAAGTGCTTATTTCCAGTGTTTTTATTGTTCAACGTCTGTCAGTGGGTTTGTTAGGGCAACAAGCAACAAATTTTCTTAGTAGGGATAAGTCGTCATCTGCTGTAAACCTATAATAAGCCTCTTTATAGGTTCTTTAATATTGGAAGAGGTGGAATCCATATTTTGGGCCATATTTATTTAATTAAAACTAATCCCAGCTACTTAAATATCAAATTACCAAATAAAACTAAAGTAATAATTCAAAACAATTCAAAACATAACCTAAAATAAAAATCTCGCCGGCCATTCCCGGTTGTCAACACCCGCACATGCCCATTTAAGCAATTTTTAAACGTTATTCAGAAATAACGCTTGGTGTAATTGATCCGCAAATTACGTCAGGCGGTAACGTTATTAGCGGGTGTTGCGTTAAAAATTGACTCGCGCATATCGTAACCATGATAAGGTACGCGTAAATACTGCATGACGCTATTCGGTTTTCCGATAACTCTCTAATAACTGTGCCGGTCAGGCGCTGTGCACAATTTTAGAGGCCATAAGTGGGCGTGCTATGTGCGCAAACTAGTAACCTAACTAGTGCCCGATTCCGAAAATTGGAACCACGAAAAACAAAACAATAAACAAAAAGCAAAGTTTATAATCTCTATAATCTGTCGTATCGGCTAGATATTAAGTCCCGAACGGGAGATTGCGGCCTGCGTGCAATGATAGTACTTTCGTTCCACCGAGGCGTAACTATCGATAGTAAAAGGATGGTAAAAGGCTTTTTTTCAGGCAAGCCAAATTATAAAATAGAAAACAAATTTCTTGCAGTATAGGTATATAATAAAATTATATAAGGATTCTTGCTACTTAACTGCTGATATAGAAATTTAATTCTACGCTGTGTTTGTCATAATGTGGTTTAATAATCAACCTGCTCTCGCTACCGGTTTCGGAGCCCTACTCCATCATCAGGTGAGCTTGGGCAGATCCACAAAAAACTAATTTAGATAATTTAGACTGGCAGGACCTTTAAATCCTTTATCACCAACACACAACCAAAACGTTTTTATTCGTAACTTGATTGATACCTGTGCATATTTATCTTGTCCAAAGGTATCCTCCAAAGTTTCACTGTCATTTGCTTTAGATTTTACATCAACATGACCACTCAAAAAATCTATTTTTAGCAAAGATGTCTTATAGTATGCATCTTGCACATATCGTAACAGCCCTGGGTTTTTTTTTTGAAGTAGTAATAGCCAGTTTTCAAATTTTCCTGTATTATTTTTTTTTATTCACTAACACTACTGGACTTGTTGCTTTATGGTTTAATCTCCTTGCAGCACTCATGGATTCACACACAACCCATATCGGCACTTTTTAAAACTGTTTTAGTACTTTTCGTAGGTCGATCCCACCTCTGATATCAGAATGTAGCACGCATTCTCCAAATAAAACACTGGATTTCTCTCATGACTCCTTCGTTCTATCGTAGTACTCAGGTTTACATAAAAGCGACTGTTATAAAGAGCAAAATCTCACAAATAAATACGATTACATAACTTGTATTTTTACTTATCATTAGTGTGGTATTAGTCAAACAATAAAGATAGTACGTGCAAGAATTCTCTGTATATACAATCGAAAAAAACGGCGTCAAAGACGGCTGGAGAATGACAATCGATGGTAATTTTGCCAAAGTCAAGCCCTAGACTCCATTTACTTAGCTCGTACTCTATTTTTAATAGCGTTTACTGCCAGTGAGCCTTAAGAAGCTTGTAATTTATTTTTATATTAAGTAAAAATAATTTTTCAATGGTGTAGTTTGAAATTGGAGAAAAACATATTATAAAAAAAAGATTAAAAAAATATCTTTTTTTAATCTTTCTAATACAATTAGCGTTGATTTTTGACAAGTATTATAATCGATTTTCATTTGCCAGCAATCTTTGACGCCGTTTTTTTTCGATCACCGTCATATATGTATATATTTAAATAAAATCTAATTATTTTTAAAAATCGAATTTAAAAATAACTTTTTCGGTTTACTAGGTTAATTTTAAGTATATACGAATTCAAAAAAAGCATAATGTAAACAATAATTTTTGATTTAAAGGTCGTGAAAACAATAATTATAATCACTGCATGCGTAAACTGCATTTTTTTAAATTAAATTAGCATCGTTTTGATACTTTTGAATATTTCAAAACATTGCTATTGTCTTACAATGATTATGAGTATTATAATTTTTTCTGAACTTGTGCAGAATATTATATTTTTCAATCAAAATATTAAGAATCCAATATCACTAGTCCGAAAAAGTAGCAAAATAAGCGTTGGGCATTTAACGTTTTATGTAAAACTGGCCAGGTATTTTTACACAAATTAAGAAGGAAATTAAAGATAAAGGATTATACTATATCAGTATTGTAGTACATTTTTTAGGCAGCTTCTTTATTTTTAAGATTTTGATGGTCAAACATCAACAAAATATTCCTTATGTTTGAACTAAATTTTCTCGAAAATAAAGACATAATTTAAAATTCCGTTACAATACGGAAATAGTTTGAAGTTTTGCGATTACAGTGATACATAATTTATATGGTTTTGTAACAAATTGCTCACTATTTTATGACAAATGCTGAAGCTCTACAAACCTTAATCAAGCCTTAATCAAAACACGTGTGTTTGGAATTTTAAGTGTGGCTTAACACGACAGGATCGGGCAAAGCCAGTGGCGTAACAACCAGGATTGCACACGGTGCCTCGTTGCATCGTTTGCTTCCTGGTTTTTTTGTGTTTTGGGATCGGTTTCTTCGCTTCCTGATTCCTTACCGTACTGATGAAGCCTGAAGGCAGTTACAACAGTGTGCACTAGTGTAGGTGTGGTTTTGTGAGTGTGAGTGTGCGTGTCTGCACTGGTGTACACTGGTGTATACGGTTACGAGTTGTTGAGGGCTGAGCCTTTTAATATTTTTTCTTCTTTTTTATACATTTGCCTCACTATTTCTTTCTTTTTCATATATACCCAATATATAACACAATTTTGAAATACCGTATGATCGAAAAATAACGGCATCCTGTTTGTTTGGAAATGACGATCGATGACATTCCCCATATAATTCTACATATAAAATGACATAAAAACTATATAAAATGACATCGAAAAAAGGCTGCGAGGAATGTCATCGACAGTCATTTACAAGCCAACTGGACGCCGTTTTTTTTCGATCATACGGTATAATAATGAATCTAGGCAATCCCCTTCACACTTGCCTACGGATTCAATGAATAATGTAATTTTTAATATTTGTTGCCTTCAATTATAAGTATATCCGAATTTTCCGCAAAAAAAAACAATTGTAGAAGCTTTGTGTTATTTTATTTATTTATTTTTAAATTTTTATTAATTACTCACTGAAACTATTATTATACACCTAAACTAGCAAATTTTTTGAAAGGATATTTAAAAAAAACATTATTTATTATTTATTAAAAACATTATATTGTAACAAGTACCCCACCACAAGTTTGTCCACAATCTTGGCAGTTAGCAGGTAAATTTAAGTTTTATGTAACAACTATACATATAGATTTTTTATATCCAAAATTTTTCACGTTTTTTTCATAGTTTACAATTATTATTTTACATATTTGATAACAATACTTTATACATTTTTTTACATGTAAAATATATAAAAAAATGTTTATTGGAGAAATTGTATTTCTCTGATTATAATACCCTACGCCCCTGAAGAAATCCTGTCTGAGTAGCATTATTTATAGTTTCAAACATTAATTAATTATAATATAGGATATTGAAAATACTACTTCGAATTAATAAAAATAGTTGGCTTTGGATGTGGTACAAGACATATATTAAAAGCATTTTACATATTTTTACTGGTATAATGAAAAAAATGTACATTTTATGGCTATACATAGCACAAGTTGTGTATCAACTTTTACCTGTAAAATGTAATTCCAGTCATTTTTTTCTCGCTTCAGCTTTTGCAACCATACGCTGAACATCTCACCATACTAAACAACACAGTTTATAAATTTAAAACAAAACAGTATTCACAAAAAACATAAAAATTCGCTTGGTGTCACCTCGAAATCTTGTCACCAAAGTATGGCTACCGATCAAATTTTGGCCTCAAAAATTTCTGAAATATAATATATATTTCCTTCGGCCACACACCTGCTTTACCCAACCCCTGAGAGCGATGCGAAAGTACAGCGTAATAGACTTTTAAAGGCTCAAGAATAATTAACTATAATATTTTATTTTAACTATAATATTTTATTACAAAAATTCTCAATTTCTAATATTAAGTTCTAGAAGAACTAATAAATATTTTTTTTCTTATTTTTAGATAGGTCCGAAGAATCAAGATGGCTGAAGAGTCAAAATTACCAACGGTTTTCAGAAAAAAACTTCCCGAGAATTTAGAAAAAATTAGAAATGGGCACTATACTCCAGAAGATTATGACTATCCTATATATAACTATTTAAAACCCAACGATTTAAGAGTCGATGAAAATGGTAGTGAGGTAGTTGAGTTTCTTAGAGGAAAAAATATTTTAGTCACTGGTGGTACCGGATTTTTAGGTAAATTTTACTATACCGGGTGTTTTTCCAAAGTATATCTCACCCCCTAAAACTTTTTTATTTTTTTCAGACAAAAAACGAGATTTTGTATGTATGTATATGACATAAATCAGGATTGATTGACGTATTCAATTATTTTCGGTCACTTCCTATTTTACCGGAAATGACCACAATTTTTTATTTTTGCTGACTTTAAATATTTGCGCTTAAAAAGTATAGTATTTTTCACTTTTCCAAGGCTCCTTGATTAAAAACTAATAGTTTTAACACAGCCCTGGCACCCTAGATACCCTGTATACAGGGTGGAGCAGCTCATTCGCCTCGGTTGATTATACGAAAACGGAAAGATGTAGAAACAATATACGAGGCATGTTTTTTAAGTAAGTACCGTTTTGGAATTTAAAAAAAAACGTGCAAAGATATCGCAATAAATTTATTTTTACATGAAAGCCTGTACCTTAATCTACTTTTCTACATAATTTCCGTGAATATTGAGGCACTTGTCATAACGTGGCACCAGTTTTTCAATACCCTCCTCATAAAATTCTGCCGCCTGACTGGTTAACCACTGTATCACAACTGTTTTGACTTCGTTATCGTCTTGAAGACGCTGACCGCCCAGGTGTTTCTTCAAGTGCAGGAATAAATGGTAGTCACTGGGCGCCAGATCAGGGCTGTATGGAGGATGATCTAGAGTTTCCCATTTAAAAGATTTGATGAGATCTTTTGGTCCGATTAGCCACATGTGGACGGGCATTGTCATGCAGCAAAACAATACCCTTACTCAACTTGCCACGTCTTTTGTTTTGGATTGCACGGCGCAGATTGTTCAATGTCTCACAATAAGATGCTGCATTGATTGTCTCATTACGAGGCAGAAACTCCACTAGCAATACTCCTTTTCTGTCGCAAAAAACTGTGCACATGATTTTCCGGGCAGAAATTGTTTGCGTAAACTTCACTGTTTTGGGTGATGATGAATGTCGCCATTCCATGGACTGTTATTTCGATTCTGGTGTGACGTAGGCCACCCATGTTTCGTCACCAGTAACAATTTTGTCTAAAAAATCTTCACCTTCATTGTGGTACTGCTCAAGGCAAGTCAATGCACTGCCTAAACGTTGGATTTTGTAAAAATCCGTCAACATTTTCGGAACCCAACGTGAACACAATTTCCGGTAATTCAAGTTCTCGGTCACAATGCGATGCAAAACACTACGAGAACATTGAGGAAAGTAGTCGCACAATGATGAAATTGTGAAGCGTCTGTTTTCTTTCACGTTTTCGTCCACTTTCTGCACCAAATCTTCATTAACGACCGAAGGACGCCCACTCCGTTCTTCATCATGCACATTTGTGCGGCCATCTTTAAATGCTCTCACCCATTTCCTTACCATTCCATCACTCATAATGTTTTGTCCGTAAACTTCACAGATCTCACGATGAATATCGATCGGTTTTACGCCTTTAGCACTAAGAAATCGTATGACAGCCCGTACTTCACAATCGGCGGGGCTCACGATTGTCGGAGGCATCTTAAACACTCAATAAACAACGTATACAATGAAGAATCAGACTGTACTGGCGTCTGTGCATAGACAAGAGATGTAGGTAACCAGCGCGCATGCGCGGAACGCCGACCGTAGCGCTGCGGCGGCGGAATCGCAAAACGGTACTTACTTAAAAAACATGCCTCGTATTTTATGAGTATATGTAGGAAGGCAATGTGCACAATTTATAATTATTTTGAAATATACAGGGTGTTTCAGAACTAAGGTATATACCAAAGTTATATTTCTTCTTAAAAAAAGACATTTATTATAAGTGTTGAATATGTTGAAAATCTTTGGTTTTTGAGATATTTAAATATGCATGCTACAATACAATATATTATTAACACCCTGTATACATTGCTTTTCAGAATTAATTATTGTACTGAGTTTAAAGGTAAAGAAATAGACTTTACTGAAAAATGTTATTGCTTATTTAAATTTATACAGGAGTACCAAAAATTGCTGATCTATTTTAAGGGTTTATTTTATATAAAAACTTCGTTATTTCAAATACAACACCCTGTATTTTTTAAAATAAATCGAAGCAGATTCAAATGCTCTTTCAAACTATATTAGGGTTTCCTATGCCTATTTAGCTCAAATTTTGAATAATAAGCGATTTTTCAATAAAATGGCAATTAAGATGGCTGTTGTCGCTATGGCAATTTTCTAGTTTATGGACAGTTATTTTTACTCGACCAAAGAGTATATAGATAAGACAAGAGACGACAGTGAACAAAGAAGTCGAATTTCGCGAGAGAGACGCAGATATATTAAAATTTAAAGGTCCCATCAAGTCCCATTTTGTCTGTTGCCAAGTATATTTCTTTGAAAAATAAACAAGATTTTCTGAAAATAAATTAATAACATAAGAAGGATATAAGTAACGTATGTTAATACGGAAATGTAAATTTTTAGTTTAGGTTGGTTTAGGTTCTTTTTTCGCAATGTACTGATAATATCAAAGAAACAGAATGACTAAGTTGATCGATTTCAAAGATAAACAGATAAAATCTCAAAATCTGACAACGGCGTATTTTATCTAATCTAAAATATAACCTATGATTTTAGGACGCTAATCAGCTGTGCTAATCAAGCTTAAACATAAACAAATCTGATTAGTTGTTTTCTTGCATTTTTGCCTTTTTAAAGTGTGTTTTCAGAGTTTTTCGATATCTTATAGTTTTGAGAGTTTTTAAGGTTTAATTTTAGTACTGTTTTTGTTGCGTACTAATTTGTAAATATTGTTAAATATGAATACTGAACAGGACACGAGTAGCAGGAAAAGACGAGATGGTGGCAATGTGTGTGCTTACAAAGACTGCAAAAATAGGTCTTATTCTTCGACAAACATAATATTTCACTCTTTTCCAAAGGATCCTGAAAAGTTATTAAACTAAGAAAGAAGACTTAAAGAAGTTATTAAACTAAGATCGAAGACATGGTTAGAAGCTTGTAATATATTTTTTACAAAAAAAATTCAGCAACTCTATTTTTTTGTACATAAACTCCACATTGTGATTTTACACTTGTTCAAGTCCATATGTAAAAAAAATACACGTAAATAAAACATTTCTTACAAATCGACTTGGTCACTTTATCTTGTTTACAAACGATATACAAAATATTGCTTTTATTATCTTTATTCCCCGACAAATATGTTTCTAATTATAATTTATTTTATATAAAATATTTAGAAAACTCATTTTTTTTCGTTTCTATTTATTTCTTTACCCATACAGTAACTATTTATAAGCTATACAGGCAAGTTTTAATAATAGTCTATTTTAAATTTCCCGCGAAAAAATTACGAAAATTTAAAGGGACAAGCAAGACGAGGTCACTCTCCCCACCACTCAAACATGAAAGGTACCGCGCGAACTGTCGTCTCTTGTCTTATTAATTTGACTTGACAAAAATTTACAAACAATTATTTTGCGTTTTCGTATAATTAATCGAGGCGAGTGAGGTGCGACACCCTGTATGTCTTAAACTAACATACCAAATCTCGTTTTTTTGTCTGAAGAAATAAAAATGTTATAGGGGTAACACAACTTTTTTATTACTAAATGATACTAGTCCTACATTTATTTTGCGTAATTACAAATTAAATTTTAACCATATAAATACAATTTTTTAATAAAATTATATTGAGTATTATATTGATTTTTGATTTTTAGGAAAACTTTTGATAGAAAAATTACTCAGATGCTGCAAGGACATAGGAACCGTCTATATAATAATAAGGACAAAAAAAGGCAAATCAATGGAAGAAAGGATCAATGAATTTTTAGACAACTGGGTAAAGAAAAAAAATAATCCATAGTATATCTATTTTATTAATATATTTCGATTTTTCTTAATTATATAATTTTTTTCTAAGGCTTTCGTAAAATTATCAGAAATATATCCGGATTACAGAAAAAAATTGGTAGGACTGAGTGGAGATATTGCCGAACCTGGTTTAGGACTGTCAGAAGAATCTAAAAAACTTATAATGGATAGGGTACGTATTTTGAATGTAGCTAATAGTCGAAAATACGTACCCTGTATTTTCGACTATTAGCTACATTCAGGAAAACACCCTGTGTATAATATCCCTTACCATTAGCGTAACAAGCAATTTATGGGGTGGGCCTGGGGGAGGGGGGCTGGGATTGAGCCCAGCTGGGGCACTTTTGTTGCACTTTTATTTTTTTTTTTTTGAATGAAAAATAATTTCAAAAACACATTTTTTGAATAAAACGTTTAGATGAATTTCTCTATCAATAAATTTCATAGACTTGGTTATCAAACCGTGTTCCCGTAGATTACTTAAATACCTACCAATTTTCTAAAAAAAATTAAAATTAACACATTTTTTGAACACAACAAAATAACATTAACTAAACAAAACTAGAAAAGGTCATTTTTACTATATCACAAGCAAATAAAAATTAATATGTAGCCAAGATTTGTAAAATTCAAGATTTCTCTGGGGGGGGGGCACCCCCGGGCACCCCTGTAGTTACGCCAATGTCCCTTACATATTTAGATTATCTCCTATAGTTCAGTCATTGGAGATTTTTGCTTGGAAAAAAGTCTTATACGTTTTGGGGTCGCTAACTAAAATCCATAAAATGCACATTTCCAGGCTTGCCGCCGACGCCGCCATTTTGCTAAGATGGCGCCCAAAATCGGTATTTTGTAAATATCTCGAAAACTATGCGTTTTTCGTAAAAATTTGAGGAGAGCAAAATTAAAGAGAATAAATTTCCTATAAAAAAGGTTCTATGAAAATTTTCAATTATAATATCACAAGAGCTTAAATTATTTTCGGAAATTTTTTTGAGGGCACGAATATTTTGAAAATTATCCCGAGTCGAAGACGAGTGTATAGCGAAATGTCGCGATTTGGAAAAGTAAACCAACAAGTCATTAAAGAAGAAATTGAAAATATAAAACCAGATAACACCCGAAAATCAAAATCAAGTGTATGGAAACAGTTTGTTCAATTTTGTGATGAAAAGTCGTATAATATTCATGAGTGTATGAGTGTAGTACAGCTGGCTACTATACTGGAGGACTACGCATTTAATATGAAAAAAAAAATTTTGAAGATTATAAGGAAAGTGTGGTCAAAGTGATGGAACTCTACTGCTAAGCAGTTGCAAGAAATTTATTACGAAAGATATAAAATAAAATTTAATCCGTTTTCTGATGTGGAATTTGTGACCGCCAGAGCTGCACGCGATGCTAAGCGCAAAATACTACAGATTCAGCAAAAAGAAAAGTGAGTGCTTCAGCCTTAACCAGTGACGAATACAAAAAAATTATTGAAATGTGGGATGAAAATACTCCAGATGGGTTGCAGCGTAAATTTTTTCACATAGTTTCACATGAGCTGGCATGGAGAGGAGGGGAAGGACATTCTTACATCCAATACTTCAAAGAAGAAACTGATAATTTCGGAAACCCAAAAGGTCGGATAGAATATAATCCAATTTTTCTCTAAAACCACAAGGTGGTTCTCTAAAAACTGTCGGATAGTAAATGGTTGATTAGAAATTTCGAAAATCCACAAATGTGTCCGGTTCGCTTGTTTAGAAAGTTGATGGAAAAGGGGAAATCCAATTATTCAATGGGTCGACAGACTATTCTTAACACCAAACCCATACTGGAATCAACCCAATTCGAAAGGATGGTACAAGAATAGCCCAGTTGGTAAGAACATTGTATCTTCATGGTTTAAATCAACAGCTTCAGATAAAAGGAATTGACACTAAAAAAAGTTAAAATAGTAATTAAATCATTCTGCAAGAGCAACAGCTGTTTGAATTTGGCCAAGAAAGGCGTTGATTGAACAACAGCTCATTAAAATGACTGGACATTTTGTTAATAGTCAGTCGATCAAACCTTACTTACAGTTGGACGCTGTCCATGAGGAACATTTCATCAAGTATCTAGCCATGTTCAATCATGATCAGAGCACAATGCAAAATAAAACAGAAAATTTACCCAGATTCAAACCACCAATTTCAAGTCCAGCCTAGGTAAACATTTACAATATTTTGTGAATTTTAATATTTAATAAAACCTATAATTACTAAATTTGTTTCGTTATTATTTTGCTATATTAGTCGATATCATTAAAGATTTTAGCATTGAAGATAATTCAACATGAATATAAATTAAAAAATCATACAAGATATATCCATCATATTTCAACAAAATTGAAAATACCAGCTTTAGTTAAATAAAGGCGGCAGAACTATATTTTTTAGAACATGGCAATTTGAAGAAATTCATATGTAGGTATATCTAACATATTTCCTTAAATAAAAAATATTACCAACCTTAGTTACATCAAATGCTAAAACTCAAATGGGTAATATTTCAATATATAGACATTGTAGTTCATTCACATTATGATTGTAGATCTTATGTTTACCTTTTCAACTGTCAAAAAATTTCCACTATAGTTTCGTGGCGCCTCGAAAAAATTTCCGGAAATTTTTTCAGTTGCCATGGTAACTAGTCAACATTAAAGCATGTTATTGGTTGAAAAGTAGAGGTGGAATTTTCGCGAAAGTCAACCGTTTAGGTACAAAATCCCTGAAAATTTTAGAATTTTATTTATTTATTTAATGTACTCCTTTCAACAACAAGCGCCAATTACAGAATGGGTCGTACTATATCGATTACAAATTAAAATTAAGCAATTTATAGATCATAAAACCAAATCAATTATAATAAAAGGTACAAAACAAAATATATACAAAGTAAAAAACAAAGATCAGATCAACAAAATTGACACAAAAAAAATTGATAAAAAAAGCCGATACTAGTAATTAAAGCTGAAAGCTGGACTCTGAAAATATATCCAAACTGCTCTGGCGTTGATTGTAGGCTAGTTGCATTCTATTAACTGGAGAATTTTTGTTAATGTTAGTCCTAAAAGCGTCGACATAAAATGTGTTGAAGTGGTTGTGTGATTTGTTGTGGCACCGCCATCTTGCCAAGATGGCGCCCAGAATCGGTATTTTGTAAATATCTCGAAAACTATGCGTTTTTCGTAAAAATTTGAGGAGAGCAAAATTAAAGAGAATAAATTTCCTATAAAAAAGGTTCTATGAAAATTTTCGCTAAAGTCAACCGTTTAGGTACAAAATCCCTGGAAATTTTAGAATTTTGCGTAAAATATGATATTTTATATTATGTATAATCGATTTTCCGAAATCAAATGTCGATTAGGGTTCACTAAAACTAGTTTTAGTTTAGTATCTCCATTTTGTAATGAAACAGTGGCGTATCATTAATTCGCCCATTAATTTATGAATAATTTATTATAATTATTGAAAATGTGTACTTGTTTTCACACCACCCAAGAGGTAAAGTACATAGAGCGTTTATTTTAACGTGGTCTCCCCGGAGGCCTATTCCACTAGGTAAATTAAAATTTTAACTTATCTGCACAAGCCCGATGGACCTGGCTCATTGACGTAAAGTCGATCGTGTCAGGGTAGTTCCTCAATTCGTCCAACTCTTCGTCTTCAGCTGCCAGAGGGATATCTACAGGCAAGTCCAACTCCTCTTCATCGGATTCTTCGAGTGACACTTCAGTGACGTTGTCACAGGATTTCGTAGTATGCACAAATCATTAAACATTTGAATCCTGCTTTTCTGCATCCGCAGGCTTTACCACAATTGTTGGTTTTGCATTTATAGGATAAAAATGCCAATAGGGATTTTGGAGCTGGATCTGTCAACGTTGTGACTGGAGTAATGCCTGTTTTTGTTTTCTTCCAACCCCATTCTTCGGCATCTTTGGTACAACCAGACCAATGCTGAACCTGGTGGTAAGTTCGCAATGAATGCTGTCCAGCACGACAATTAATTATTCATAAATTAATTATTATCATATTAAACGAATTAATGATACGCCACTGTGTTATGACAAAATTAAAGAAACTAAACTAAAACTCGTTTTAGTGAACCCTAATCGACATTTGAGTTCGGAAAATCGACTATACATACGAGGCATGTTTTTTAAGTAAGTACCGTTTTGGAATTAAAAAAATGTTTTTTTTTTTTTTTTACAATTTTATTTTTACATGAAAGCCTGTAACTTAATCTACTTTTCTACATAATTTCCGTGAATATTGAGGCACTTGGCATAACGTGGCACCAGTTTTTCAATACCTTCCTCATAAAATTCTGCCGCCTGACTGGTTAACCACTGTATCACAACTGTTTTGACCTCGTTATCGTCTTGAAGACGCTGACCGCTCAGGTGTTTCTTCAAGTGCAGGAATAAAAATGGTAGTCACTGGGCGCCAGATCAGGGCTGTATGGAGGATGATCTAGAGTTTCCCATTTAAAAGATTTGATGAGATCTTTGGTCCGATTAGCCACATGTGGACGGGCATTGTCACGCAGCAAAACAATACCCTAACTCAACTTGCCACGTCTTTTGTTTTGGATTGCATGGCGCAGATTGTTCAATGTCTCACAATAAGATGCTGCACTGATTGTCTCATTACGAGGCAGAAACCCCACTAGCAATACTCCTTCTCTGTCCCAAAAAACTGTGCACATGATTTTCCGGGCAGAAATTGTTTGCTTAAACTTCACTGTTTTGGGTGATGATGTATGTCGCCATTCCATGGACAGTTGTTTCACTCCCAGCATCGGTGGCCACCCACAAGCTCTGTCACCAGTAAATAATTTGTCTAAAAATCTCACCCTTCATTGTGGTGTTCGTCAAGGAAAGTCATTGCACTGCCTAAACGTTGTGTTTTGTGCAAATCCGTCAACCTTTTCGGAACCCAACGTGAACATAATTTCCGGTAATTCAAGTTCACGGTCACAATGCGATACAAAACACTACGAGAACAATGAGGAAAGTAGTCGCACAATGATGAAACTGTAAAGCGTCTGTTTTCTTACACCTTTTCGTCCACTTTCTGCACTAAATCTTCATTAACGACCCCGGAAGGACGCCCACTCCGTTCTTCATCACGCACA